AAGAGTCAGAGCTCTGATGCCAATTGAAGGTTGAGAAAAACACAAGAAAGGGGGTTTGAATTGGGTTTTACAAAATTTTAATTGGCTTGATCACACACACACACACACACACACACATAAATAAGGTAAGGTCTGTAAAAGAAGGAACATAATTAGTTTATCCTGGTTCACTGTTAACAAAGCTAATCCAGTCCACAGGTGATTTTGCCTTCTCACAATGACTTAATCCACTAATATTTGGTAAGATTACAACAAACTTAAGTCATCAACAACTTATCCCTCTCGAGTGTACTAATTAACACACTTAGTCACTCAAGGAAAATTCACAACCAACCTTTAAGTTGTTCAACAATAACTTAACCTTCTCGATTTTGCTGACTAACACACTTAGTCACTCAAGGAAAATTCACTTTAAAAGTGTTACAAACATGTTTACAATAGTGCTTTTTAGTAAGCTGATTGAAACAAATTTAAGAACATTGTTTTCTATACAAATACGAGCAACAACTCTTTGTGTTTGAGATGCTTTGACAGAGTGTGATTCAGCGTTTGACTTGTGAATCATTGTTTTGCAAAGCAACATGGTCTTCTATTTATAACCTTGAGAATTATACGTTGAGGGATAAGAAGGTCTTTTAGTTTAGCTAGTTGTTTTCAACGGTAGAATCCTTGGAGAGTAGAAGTAGTAAAAGCTTATAAAGCTTTCGGTTCAATTCTGAGGAAACTCTCTGCTTTAGACATTTTAGAAAAGAGTCGTTTTTACGAATTTTGATCTTCACGTTACTTTGGACTTTGAGCTTTGATTCTTATCATATATTTGAACTTTAGCATTGATCAGAGTCTTAAGAATCCCTTCATACGCTTTCTTGAGGAGCATATGTTTTCATCTTCAGAAGCACCAGTATTCATCAGAATCTTTGCGCTAAAAATTGATTCTAATAAGAATTGTATCTCTGCACACTTAAGATAGAATTAGAGTACCAATTTGTTATATTTAAAATATATGCGTTGTTATCATCAAATCTAGAGATTATATGCAGAATCGTAATCTTGTTCTAACATTAGGTATAAGTAGGGTTTTGGTTGTGGCAACTCAAAATGTTTTTTCTTATAACTCATTTGTAATCTCTTACAACAACTTTTGTAAGTAGAATGAATACGAGATATGTTTTCTCCCTCATAGTAGATTATTTTGATCGAATTGGGTAAAAAAGTTATTTTGTTCTTGTCTTTTATCTTCTTCTGTCTTATTATGGATTTGATTTCTTTTTTGCAGATTATTGTGTTGCTTTAGATCATTTACTTTGGTTGTTGTTATTCTTTATCCCCACACATCAAATTTCTTAGTGTCTTTAAACTTTATATAATTCTTCTTAATTAATTTAAGTTATTCTACCCACAGAGCGGTTTCCATATCTTCTACGGTCTTATTAATAATATTGAATTACTCATTTACCCCAACCATCGCACCTTCGGTGTTAGACAAAGATTTCTCCAAATCATTCACCCTTGTATATAGGGCGTAAGATGAGTCATACTTCTTCACATTTTCCTGATTAAACTTGAAAAGCCCCTTTACATCAACAAGTTCATTCAAAAGATTGTTCCTCACCAAGAGGGAAGAGTCCAATTTCTTTCACAATATCTCTTTTATCTTATGAAGTTTTCAGAGTTAACACATGTCCTTTACCGTCGGTACCAAGGAATAGCATAACAACCACTCGATGTAGATGATAAGACATTTCTACCACCACCTTTTAACGACTTGATTCTCAAATGAGAAATCAGGTGTATTCATTATATGGAAGGCAAGCCCAGATATATTTGGCCAACATTGTTTCAGGAGTAAGAAGGATTTGATACATAGTAGATGTACGTGTCATTCCATCAAAAAAGTGATTATTAGCCCAATACTTTAGGAGTTTTTCTATACACTTTGGAGCCATAGGATATTCATAGGGAGAAGAAGATGACCACTTGAGAAAGAGGTGTTTACAATTCCCATAAGCTTATACTATCACACACAAACTTTCATGAGAAGTATGGCTAAGAGGGTAACTAGATACTATTTATCCTTAAAATTATTGAAACTATCCATGCATAATTGAGACATATTCTCCCTCTACCTAATGGGAGGCAATACTTGTTCTCGATCCTTAAAATTTTCTATCATGCACACCTTGTTGAAAATGGATTTCCTCCCTAAAATATCTTGTTCCACCAAGGGTAATGGTCTGCATCAGCGGGGAGCTAGAGAGCCTGGTGCCCAGTTGTACCATCTCAACCTCATAGTCAATAGACAAACAATTATGACCATGAGTACATGATCATGATTATGGCTCTATTCACAACCTAACCTCGTTGTCACTAGGTTCACGGTCATTAAGGCAACTGAAGGATTTAATATAAACTCGAGCCTTATGTTCATCCATGTAGGTATCTATAGTTTCTGGGTTTGGTGCGAGTAGTTAAGGGAATGAGAAACCATGAACGACCTCCCTAATGTAAATCCTAAAGATAGTCAGTTGTTCCTATCCATTTACATTCACCTCAGGATTACTTACTTCCATGGATTCTTTCAAATCGACTTCGTCCATAATTAAACCCATCACCTCATCAAAAGATTCACTAATTTTTATGAAGTTTAGTGAAGTGTGCCCAACCTCTATTATTTTTGGTTCGAGAGGATGCGTCACTTACATCATCATCATCATCATTGACTAAGTCCACAAAGGTAATGCTTGGGTTTCCCTATATGTTTAGGATTAGATGAAGATCTTTCCCAAGGTGGCAATTTAGTGACATCACAAATATTTAATGCATATATTTCCAAGGCCACCAACCTCCTATAACTTGAAGAACCCTTCCATTATTGTGTAATATTAGAATTTAAATCCCTTAATGTCGGTCTAAAAAATTATACGAAAAAAATCTTAGATTCATATCCTATCACAAGGAATTGTGATGCAATGGTTATGGACTGACCAAAACACCCAACAAGACCGGAGCAATACATAGGCCTAATCCACAATTTTGTCATCTCAGACTAACAAATAGATCTACCCTTGCTAAAGGAGCCTTGCATACAAGCCAGACATCGTACTCATATCAACCATTGGAATCATTCATTGGTCTTATGCACAGAGCACTATGTTTAGTGAGGCTGGTTCTAACTATCGTTCATATATAAGTGTGACTCCACATCACACCACTATGCAAGTTTCTTCTCTTTAACTTTAATGACTTAGATGTTAAAAGTGATAATCATGAAAGTGCATCCCCTCCCCGCCTACGAGAGACTTCTATTGTCGTGCCGTAAACTTCTAAAGCGGTTTTCACCAACCTACCGGATATTTTTTGTTCAACATCGAAATATAAATAATAAAATACTTTATTTTTTAGAGATCATTTTTATTTTATTTTTGGCAAAAAAAAATGATTCAAAAATTCTGAAATAAAATAATTAACATATCAACTAGAATGAAATTTAAATTCATATCCTAGTGTTATGATTTCTAATGTTCATAAGTAGATTAAAAATATTTGTACCATTTAGAAGGACTGGACCAAACGTTTATGGGCACAAAACAATATTAAAAACTATTACATGTTAAAACCATTGTCATTCGAGTAAAATCAGGTTAAAAAATACATAGTATTATGTGTAAGAAACAATGAGCAAAATTTGTATACATTTACTTTTTAGTCACTCAAATTTTATAAAGAATATTTGTCAATTTAGCTCTATTTATAGCAATGTAACTTACAGAGTTTGATCCAAAATAAAATCAATTTACAAAATCTCGATGTCATTTTCCTCATATTCTAGGACAATGGAAGCAAGAGCTCGCCTATAAACAACATATCTGAATTTAACAAATTCCAAAAATACATTTCTGAAAATATTCCAGCGATATTTTTCTACAATATATTTATTTATAAAATTTGAACGAGATTGAAAAACAAATAAAATATATATAAAAAATACGTCTGGAGATATATCTCCAAATTAAAAAATATTTTTTAAAATCGACGTGATAGATTATAAATATATAGAGTGTTTTAAGATATACTGAAGTGTTTTCATCTTAGTAAGAAGTTAAGCCTTCAATAATTGATTTTTTTTCACTAATACTCTATTATGAAACAAATAATACCAAACTACCCTCTTTTAAAAAAAGTTAAGGAATTTGTCCTAGGTTTAGAACCTGCTCGCCCACTGAAGTGGCGAGCATATGAAGGAAATTTTGGTCACGTTGGTGCTCGCTTACTCAGATGTTGAGCACATGAAAAAAAAAACACTCTTCATGTGCTCACCATCTGAGTGGGCGAGCACCAACGTAGCCAAAATTTCTTTCATATGCTCGCCACTTCAGTGGACAATGCTGGTTCTGAACATAGAACAAATTTATTAATTTTTTTCAAAAGAGAATAGTTTGGTATTATTTGTTTCAGAATAAAGTATTAGTGTAAAAAAACCTCAAGAATTTGGCTTGGTTCAAGAAATGACTTTGAGCTTCATATATAATTAAAACTTTTATTAGTACCTAAAACATGTCTTTATTATTGGCCAAAGTTAATGATGAATTAGTTGAGGTGCAAAACAGCAGGGGTATGTGAAGTAAAATTCCCAATACATAGTACTACCACACTCTAGGCTCTAGCATTGACCAAAATTTCACTATTAGTATGGTCCATAGCCCAGGAATATTTATTAAATATGGGCTACCTCTGATACACTGACATGCTAGGCCTAGCACATAATTTACTAATCAATTTTCCAAAATATTTTTCACACCCCACAATATTAAATGCTGCTAAAAAAATAGTTGAACTCTCTTAAATGTTGGAAAACAAAAAAACACTAAACTAGTACTAATTTCATTAATTTCATTGATGATTTTCTAATTTGTTAGAACAATTAATTATCATACAAAAACAACAAAAAACCTATTACTACTACTATGTGATGATGATGTATTTTCTATACAAATGTCTAGTTAATAAGATGAGACTCTTATGTGTAATCCATTTGGTGCCACAACTCTAGGAAATTTCATTAGTTTATCTCCGCCTACTTCTTCCCATCTGCAATGTAATATATTTGTCTCAAATTATATGTCATTTTAATAAGACAGAGGACGAAAGTTAGATTAAGTTCTCTCACCTGTATCTAGTTACAAAATAGTGTAAAAAAGTTGAAATTTCGGCTATCCCCAATTCTTTTCCGGGACATTGTCTAGTGCCTCCTCCAAATATCAAGAAGTGACTTTGTGACTCTAGACTATTACCCTGCATTTTCAAGTTACTTGTTAATTAAGATAGCATTTCAAGATTTTGTGCAAAGTGAAATAAAAGTATAGTAAGAAGTTGTTACTAACCAGCCATCTCCAAGGGTTAAATGTTAGTGGATCATGATATAGAAAAGGGTCATAGTTTATCTCTCTAGTATATACATATATCCTCCATCCTTTAGGTACCAAATAGCCTGAAAACACCAATTACAATGCAAAAACACAATTAGCTCTCATAGTCGATGAAACAGTAACAGAGATACTGACATACTCATCAGACAAAATACTAATCCGTACACGTCGACAATAATCATGTTTGTCATGTTAGATTATTGGATATTGATACATGTCAAATATCTGACATATTTTCGATAAAACGATAACACAGATACGAACACAGTCGTCAGACACAATATGTCAACAAAAACAATTATATGTGTCAGTGTCACGTCGTTATATGTCAAATCCATGACTTGTTAATATGCATCCTACATGATATTTTCAACTATGATTATAATAATCTAAGTAACTTGAAAAGGATGCATTTTTTCTGGCAAACTTTTCACATAGTGAAAAGGGTCTAATTGGTTTGTTGAAAGGGTGGTCAATGGCATGTGAACAATTACACTATATTCTAGGGATGAATTTCTTTTGTGGTTACTGTTTAAAAAGCTTTATGACGCTGAAAAAAGTTGCTGAAAGAAACCTAAAAGGTCAAACATTTATCTTGAGCCCATAAATACATATAAACTAGAGAAATGAAGTGTAGGCCAATCACAAAACCCACCATTTAATTCCATGTCATGAGTTGTTTTTCTCAGAACTCCATTAACTATTGTAGCTAACCTCGAGGTCTCAAAAATCACCTGCATAAACATAGTTTAATTTAATACTATTCCACGCGTGATGGAAAAATTACTTTAAAATCGTCTAAAACTCCAACGACGATCCTTGTAGACCATCAGAAGTAGAAGTTCATTGTCTTCTTATTGTAACGTACTAACGTCTAAGACAATGAAATGATCAATGTGGCTTAGATCACATTGTCTTAGACGCTAGAACGAAAAAATCCTAGAAGATCTATTTCTAAACGGTAACATCAGTCGTAGTTGGTTTTTTTTACTTATAAGTGAAGAAATATTACTAAACAAATTCCTACCGCGCGAGTGAACCTCATTGACTTGAGATCATTACAATCAATAGGATCTTCTGGCTTTTTCCTTTCTCTAATAGCAAAGTGTTCCTTCTGCAAGATTTCAATAATCAATATTGTTACAATCATATAATCATTAAAAAAAACTTAATAGAAAAGCAATTATAATGAGAACTTTTGCACATACTCTCATTTCTTCAAGAACTTTAGGATGATCATGAAGGTACTTTACAGCCATCATTGAAGTGGTTGAAATAGTTTCATAACCAGAATACATAATTGTAATGATTAGATCAATAAGTTCCTCATCATTAAGTTTGCTTCTATTATCATTATTTCCTCTCATCAAACAACTAAGCATGTCTTCATACTTCTCTTTTGATTCTCTCCTTTCCTTTAGTACCTTACTCAAAATGCTAATTATACTTTTCCTTGCCTACACAAAAATCATTCAAATGTAAATCATTGTATGATTAATCAAAGGCTATCATTCAGGGTTGTCTTTGAAAGCGTGCTATCGCAGAGAACCCGAAATTTGCCACAGTTAAATCGTGGTTCAATAAGATCTTATAAAATATTTGCCACAATCAAACTAGGACTAATCTACAGATGTTCTCCAAAAAATTGAGACGGCTCTAACTATATTTACCTGTAATCCGTGGCGATAGTTTGTGCCCGGAAGGTTAAGAGGGAGGGAGAGAGTTCCTAAAACAAGCTTAAAGAACTCTGTCATGAAAGGCTGAGAAATTGAGCTTGTTTCCATACCAGCAATCTGCTTCAAGGATGAGAGAAATGCCATCTGTTCAAAAACATTTGATAATTCGCAATTCTAGTTAGAACATTTTCATATTGATACTGTGATTTGGTAGAAGCTACAAAATGTAACTTCTGACAAATCACAATGCAACGTGATTCTGTCAAATTCACCGTCAATTCAAACATGTATATAAAGTTATAAACCTTTACTGACAAGCATGTTTAATTTGACAGAATCACAATTTTTTGACTGACAAACTCGCTGTGAATCCAAACATGCACACGGACGGAAATATCGAACCTGTTTAGTTTTGTCTTGAATGTTGATAACTTTGTTTTCCCAATGACTCAAGTGAGTTCTCATGAATTGATCAATTTTAGGTAAAAGCTGATTTCTAATCAAGGTGGGGCTAATGATTGAAAGCAATGTCCCTCTCATGTACTTGTGAGTGGAGCCATGAACAGCTGCAATGTTACATTTTCCTAAGATATCTAACATGGATTGAGGGTATCCTGGAACAAACCCTTTTGCTTCATTCATCAATATGTATCTATTTAGCTCTGGATCCATTGATACAATTGTAGGACACCCTAATATATGTGATTTGAAAATATTTCCATACCTGCCATTCACATCACAACAAAAATTTCAATCATAACCGATATCCCTGCACAACTACCAACTGAGCTGGTTTACCGAAATTAGAAAAAATCTCAACGTGTCATAAAAACTACAATATATACACAACTGTCAACTGAGCTGATTTAACTGAAGTATGACACGACAGGGCTATCATAGTATGTGATAGTAATTAAGTAAAAACTATTTTCATAAAAAGTTTCCACAAATACTATTCCACTTACACAAACATGAACATACTTGAACATAGGAAGATAAAACTTATGGAACACATGCAAGAAAAAGACCAAACAATGATGATGAAGAAAAACATGCGAATATGTTGTATTTTTTACCTTGACCTTTGATTTATCATAAAGTTAGGACCTTGTTTAAGAAACTCAGTAGTTTCTCCAAAAACAGGCCACCCCATTGTTCCTTGAGGCAAACCTTTTGTTCTGTATCTAACTTGATTCCATTTGAGAAGAGCAGAGAAAAAACAGAACACAAAGAAGAAAGCAAGAATTGCAATGAAGATAGCCATTGGTAAGGCTGAAAGCTGAGTAGTAATTGAGATGGAAACAAATTAGCACAAGTGCTTATATATATAAGCACTTTGAGGAAGTAGTAGTAGTAGGAGAAGCATTTGTATATGAGAGTGGACAAAAAGAGGCACCCTAGGAGAGAAGTAGCATCCCCCTATAGTTAGTGTTGGAGAATGAGATAATAAATAAATGAATTGATGAGATAGTTGGAAAAAAGGAGTAAAAGAAATGATAAAAATAAAAAAGTGATAAAGGAAATGGAGAAAGGTTGGTTATATAGAGAGGGAAAAGGAGAGAAATGGGGTGAAGGGTTGGTTGTATGGATGTTGATTGATGAAGTAGATATGGTAAGCTATTTACTGCCTAGGTTGGTTTTGTACAAGGTGTTGGGCTTATCTATGATAACTATTGCACAATTTTATTCCATCTTTTTGTACTCTCAATACTAATTCACACGTTTTATATAATTAGTACTAGTACAACAAAATTTACACTAACTTTTTTTTATTTTTATTCACTAATTTTTTTTTCCAAAAGGCAAATGATTTAATATAAGAATAAAGGGTATTCCAATCCTTATAAAATTAAGGAGATTTCCAACCAACACTATAATTCTAAAAAGATTTTATATAAAAAATCTGAAATGATGAGTTGGAATAAAGAATCTCTCTGATATAAATAGTAATATATTTTTACACAACTATTAATTGAAATGATTTAACAAAATTAAAAATATATTATCGAAATACGTGAGATGTAATTGGATATAAATTTAATTGATTTAGTAATCGAATGGTCGAAATATCAACCTTTAAATATAAATAATAAAAAATACTTACACAACTATTAATTGAAATCATTTAACAAAATTAAAAATATATTACCAAATACGTGAGATGTAATTGGATGCAAACTTAATTTTAAAAAGTGGACAATTATGAATTAAAACTCTGATGTTAATATATCAAATAACATTCTATCTGTTTAGTAATTTCTCTATTTTATAATAAGTAACTCATTTGTTAAAAAAAAGTTAAATAAGTGTTTTTTTCCCTTCATTTTAGAATGCAATATTTGTTAGAATTTTGGATTACAAATGTAATATTTAATGTGTTAATATTATATTTAATTAAAAAATGTAAAAAATGTGTAATTAGTATTAATTATATAGTTAAAGGCATATATGTCATGAAAAATTCTTGTGTAAATACCATAAATCAATATCCTAATTTAATGAGAGACCAAATTAGAATATTAAAAATTAAGTAGTGACCCTTAGGGAATTACTTATTTGTAAAAAAACGGTCTATACGGTTTATCGAATTTTCTCTCTTCATCCCCATCAGAAGAGAATCAAGAAACTCTAAAGCACTCTATTAATCGGAAGATCACATACCAACAAACCTTCAGCGATTCCAATGGCAAACTCATGTACGCTTCCGCTTCCATTCTCATCTTGTATTCGGGTATGAGTTAGCAAGATATGAGTTCATAGGATATAGGTAGTACTACATAATGTAATGAATAAATCTAACAAGTGGTATCAGAGTTATTCATGCCTGATTAATTTAGTTTTGAGATTTTGAAATAATGGTTCTAAAATTGAGATTTATTTTAATCTTCTAATTTGTGTAAAAAATAATATTTTTATGATGTAAATAATGTTTTTGGTGTTATTTGATGATGTGTTCATGAAATTTGTGTTGGATGTTGAATTAAAATCAACATTTTTTGAATTTTTTCCGCATTTGTCGCTATTTTATGCTAAAATCGCAGTCTGCGAGCAATGACAGTTGTCATCCTTAGTAACAGGCTGACATCACGCTACGAAGCCTTGTTACGGGCGCTATTTCTATTGAGGACCGTCGGCACTTGCTAACGGGTACCCTTTTCTGATGACGTCTGTCATCGTTGGATGACAGACAATCCTCTATGGGTCTTACCAGGTGAAAACCCTCACAGGTTGCGATGCTCTGACCATCACCTAGATTGTTTCAATATCGTTTTTTTCTTCTTTTTTTTGGACTTTTTACTTTTGTAAAATTTAGAACTGTATTGTGTTATTGTTATTCATATAACAAAGTAGCCACAGATTGGAACACGAAAATGTCTTACTGGTTTGTATGGTCGTGCCCTTTAATTGTTTCATCCATTAACTTTGGTATAATTTTGTTCATGTTTTGGTTATGATTTGTAATTTTATACAAAGTTTAACATTTTGAGAGAGTCAATTAAAATAAAATGTCACCAAAGTGACCTTCTTTATGAGATTGCTTAAGAAATGTTAAATGTTTTTCCTTTTGTGTGTATGTTTATCCACGCGAGTATCAACTAATGTTTTGTTGAAATTCATACATACCTATGATAATGAACATACAATAGTTATAAGGTTTCACATATAAATGATAAATCAATCCAAACAAGGGTTTATTACTTGACATATTTTATTATTAATGTTTGACCATTACAACAAGAATACCACTAGCAGTTAATATTAGTGTCTGAGGACTCGATATTGATGGTGCACTAAGTATCTTGATATGGGTTATACTATTATATGAACATATTAAAGATTCAATTTTTCTTTTATGTGAGTATACTTAAAGTGTTTACTTTGTTCTATTTTAAGCTATTATTGCTTCGATATCTGCTAAACTAAAATCGGTTTCAGTCCTTCATGGGATAAATTTTAAGGACTGGAAAGACAACATGGAATTTATTCTTGACTGCATGGATCTTGACCTTGCATTAAGGAATGAGCAACCACCTTATTCTACGAAATCTAATACCTCTAAGCAGAATCGCATGAGTCTCATGATCATTAAGTGTGGTATTCCTGAGGTATTTAGGGATACTATCTCGGAAAAGATAATAGATGTCAAAAATTTCCTTACTGAGATTGAAAAGCGCATTGCAAAAAGCGCTAAGGCGGAAACAAATACTCTTTTTCAGAACTTGATTTTCATGAAGTATTAAGGAAAAGGAAACATAAGGGAATACATTGTGGACATATCAAACATTATTTTAAAACTTAAGGCACTAAAGCTTGAGTTGTCGGGAGACTTGCTCATTTATTTAGTATTATTTTCTCTTCCTTCATAATTCAGTCAATTTGAGATATCTTATTATTGTCAAAAGGAGATTTGATCTCTTAATGAGCTTATTTCACTTTATGTGTAAGAAGAGGAACGGTTGAAGTAAGATAAGACAAAAAATGCTCATTTTGCTACAACCTCTAAAGACAAAGGCAAAGGAAATAAGACTTGTGAGCCCAAGAATGAAGCTACAAATGCTTTGATCTGTTCTCAGGTCAATTTGCCTTTGGTACCTAGAAAAACTTGATGGGTAGACTTTGGTGGAACTACTAATATTAGTGTTTCAATGAAGGATTGTGTAAACTACCAAAAGTCAAATGGTATTGAAAGATACATCTATGTCAGAGATGACAAGTCGATAGAGGAGGAAGATGTAAGGCATTTTAGATTATTAATGTATATTGGATTTTTTTTTAATCTGAAAGATTCTTTTACGATACCTTCATTTTAACTAAATTAAATTTTTGTTTCTTATTTGGATATATCAGGTTATTTATGCTCATTCAGAAACAATAAATTCAAGTTGTCATTCAATTTAGATATTGTTGGAACTGATTTACTCATGGGTCATGATAATCTATATTTGTTGGACACAATAGCTACCTATGGCGTATCCTTAAATGTGGAATCATGCGGTACTAAGTGTAAAATTGATAATACTTATTTAGGATCATTATGGCATAAATGCCTAGATCACATCTTTAAAAATGGAGTTGAGCGACTAATATTAGATGAAATTTTGGATTCCATTGACTTCACAGACTTTGATGTTTGTGTTGAGTGCATTAACGGTAAACAGATCAAAAATAAAGAAATTTGGTACATATAGAGCTACAAATGTCTTATAATTGATACATATGGACATTTATGGACCAATTTCCATACCTTCTTGGAATGGTCAATAATATTGTATATCATTCATTTATGATTACTCCAAATATGCATACATATTTCTTACACCTAAAAAATCACAATCATTTATTAAGTGTCAAATTTAACCACATCAGTGAATATTACGATGAATATGATGGTTCATGTGAACACGTATGAGGCCTTTTGCTAAATACCTAGAGGAATGTGGAGTTGTCCTATAGTACATAATGCCATGGTCACCTAGCATGAATGGTGTAGAAAAAAATACAAAACCAGACTCTTAAGGATATGGTAAGGAGTATGCTTTGTCATTCTACCTTACTAGAGTTATCTAGGAAGAGATACTAAAGACTGCAACTTACATTCTAAATTGAGTGCCAACCAAGTCAGCTACCAAAACACCTTATGAACTTTGGACTGGGAAAAAACCTAGTTTGAAACATTTTCATGTATAGGGATATCCAACTGAGGCAAGGCCTTATAAACCAAATGAAAAGAAATTGGACTCCCGAACAATGATCATTTACTTTGTTGGTTATTCTAAAAGATCTAAGGGATACAAATTTTATGATCCATAATTAAACTCAACTTTTGAGACAAGAACAACCATGTTACTTTAGATGATTACATAGTCTTTATCCAATAACATGAGAAAAATAATAGTATGAAGGAATATGACCTAATCAACTTCCATTAAGCCATGCAGGATTCCAACTCGGAAAAGTGGATTAAAGAAATGAAGGTGGAGTATAAATACATGCAAGAAAAAAAGGTTTGGAAACTTATCTCGTTTCCAAAAGGAGCACCTATTAGTTGTAAATAGATTTTTAAGATCAAGCAAAATTCTAACGGTAATGTGGAGAGGTATAAGACTCATCTTGTGGCGAAAGGGTTATACCCAAAAGGAAGGGATTGACTTTAAAGAGACTTTCTCTCTGATTTCAACGAAAGTCTCTTTTAGGACAATCATGGGTATTTTTGTATATTATGATTTGGAACTCCGTCAAATGGATGTCAAGACGGAATTCATC